TACTTTATATATTTATACGTAGAAAAATATACAGCATTTTTGTTGTATTTTCTGGTTACATTTATTTATTTTTATTTTTTAAAATAAATTTTTACTCTTCAACTGCATTTGACATACAATATTATATTAGTTGCAGGTGATTAGACATAGTGATTAAATATTTGTATGACTTACGAAGTGATTACCCTGATGAATCTAGTCCCCATCTGACACCATGCAGTTATTACAATGTTATTGACTCTGTTCCCTATGCTGAACTTTACATCCCCATGACTATTTTGTAACTACCAATTTGTACTTCTTGATCTCTTTCGTCCCCTTTTTCACTCAGCCCCCCACACCCCTCCCATCTGGCCATCGTCAAAATATTCTCTGTATCCAAGTTTCTGTTTTGTTTGTTCATTTATTTCATTTTTTAGATTCCAAGTATAAGTGAAATCCTATGGTATTTGTCTTTCTCTGTCTGACTTATTTCACTTAGCACGATACCCTGTAGGTCCATCCATGTTGTTGTAGATGGTGATATTTCATTTTTTATGGCTGAATAATATTCCATTGTATATGTATGCCGTTCCTGTAACCGTTTAGCTGTTGATGGGCACTTAGGTTGCTTCCACATCTTGGCTATTGTAAATAGCTGCAGTGAACATAGGGGTGCATATTGTCTTTTTGAATTAGTGTTTTGGATTTCTTTGGATAAATACCCAGAAGTAGAATTACTGGGTCATCCTTTGTTTCTTGCTATATAGCCTTTGTTTTAAAGTCTATTTTGTCTGGTATAAACTTTGCTACCCTAGGTTTTAAAAAATTTTCCATTTTCATAACATATCTTTTTCCATTCTTTTACTTTCAGTCAGTTCAGGCAGTGGATGTTAGGGTCTTGTTTTCTTGTCCATCAGCCACCATATGTCTTTTGATTGGAGCATTTACTGCATTTACATTCATAATAATTCTTGGTAGATATGTAGTTATTGCCATTTTATTCATATTTTTGATCTTTTCCTTCTCTTTCCTCTTTTTCCTCCTCCTCTTAAAGAAGTCTCTCCAACATTTCCTGTAATCCTGGCTTGGCGGTGACGAACTCCTTTAGCTTCTTGTCTGAGAAGCTTTTTCTATCTTTTGATTTTAAATGACAGCCTTGCTGGGTAGAGTAATCTTGGTTGTAGGTCCTTACTTTTAATCACTTTGAATATTTTGTGCCAATCCCTTCTGGCCTGCAAAGTTTCTGTGCTACATTAGCTACCAGTCTTATGGGAACTTGCTCGTAGGTAGCTAACTTTTTCTCTTGCTGTGTTTAAGATTCTTTGTCTTTAACCTTTGGCATTTTAGTTATGATGTGTCTTGGCGTGGGCCTCTTTGGGTTCATCTTGTTTGGAATTCTGTGCTTCCTGGGCTTGTATGTCTATTTCCTTTACCAGGTTACGGAATTTTTCAGTCATTAAGTTTTGAAATAGGTTTTCAATTCCTTGCTCTCTCTCTTCTCTTTCTGGTACCCCTATGATGAGAATGTTGGTACGGTTGATATTGGTACCCCAAGGCACTTTAAACTACCCTCATTTTTTGCGGGGTGGGGGGGATTCCTTTTTCTTTTTTGCTATTCCGTTTGGGTGTTTTCCGCTACCTTATCTTCTAAACTGCTGATACGACCCTCAGCTTCATCTAATCTACTGTTGATTCCCTCTAATTATTCTTCATTTGAGTTATTCTTCATTTCTGACTGGTTCTTTTTTGTTTTCTATTTCCATTTTTATGTGTCCTCTTTGTTGAAATTCTCACTGAGATCATTGAGCATCCTTATAATTAGTGTTTTGAACTCTGCATCTGGTAGATTGCTTGTCTCCATTTTTAGTTCTTTCTCTGGAATTTTGTTCTTTCCTTTGGGACATATTTCTTTGTGTCTCCATTTGGCTGCCTCCCTGTATCTGTTTCTGTGTATTAGGTAGGGCTGCTAGGACTCCTGGTCTTGATAGGGTGGCTTTAGGTAGTAGGTGTGCTGTGGGGCCCAGTGCCACAGTCTCTGTAGTCACCTGAGCTGGGTGCTCCAAGGTGTCCCTTGTGTGGGGTGTGAGTGCCCTCCTTTGAAGTTGCGCCTCGATTGCTGTTGGCACTCAGTGGGAGGGTCAGTCAGTCTGTGCAGACTGGCTGAGGACTGGCCGTGACGGCAGTGGAGGAGCGGCTGTGCAGGGGCCGACCCCACGGAGCAGGGTTCACTTTAGCGGGGCGCTGGTGCCTGCCGAGTCTGCCTTTTGGCTGTCGTTTGTGGAAGTGGTTCAGCGGTGCTGTGGTGTGGTCTGAAGCTGGCCAAGGGTATGCTGGTTCTGGGGCCTCTTGGGAGGGGCTCTGGTACAGGCCAGGGTCAGCTGCTGCCTGGGCCCTGTCTGGGGCCACTTGCTGTGAGCTACAAAGTGATCTGCAGATGGTTGTCACTTGGTCTCAGATCCACGCTCTGCTTCCTTTATAATTGCAGGCAAGTCATTTTCTCTCTGTCCTTAGTTGCCACATCTGTACAATGGGGATCATGAATTCCTAGCTCATAGACTTACAGCTACATGGGGCTATGCATATGAAGTGTTTGGCGCAGGGCCTGGCATCTAGCAGCATTTCACGTTTGCTGCCATTGTCATCCTGTCTCCAAGTGCATTCCCGTTCCCTGGCACTGTGTGCCAGGAGTATAGGGTGAAGCATTTGGTCGTAGCGCACCCCCTCTTTTTTTTTCGGTCTCCCTATTGTAGCTTCTGCATCTCTAGTGAATGCGATGCCCTGGCCAACTTTCCAGGTTGCTTGGCAGACATGAGTTAAGTAAAGAAAATACGAATGCTTGTTTAAACAGCTTTGCAGACCTTTTATAATGCTTAAATGAGTCTTGTAACAAAACCACCGTAACCTCACTCTGTTTAGAGAATTTCATGTACAGACAGCTTTGTTTGCCGTTCTGCTTAGCGTGGCGTGGAGCCCGTCCAGTGTGGGAGGGAAAACACAGCACAGCTGTCCAAGGCCTGCAGTCGAGCCTCTGACGGGAAGGCCTTAAACTCTCAGCTGTCGTCAGGTAAAAGCCCCGCCTCACAGCCAGTCGGGCCTGAGTCCTGGACAGGACGCCAGCATTTACTGCCTTCAGGTGTTGGATGTTTTTGAGTCTCCTGTCTGTGCAGGGCCTTTGGGCAGTGGTTCCCCTCCTGGAATGCTCTGACACACAGTCACATCCAAGAGGGGAAGTCAACAAGGTGATGTGTTTGTTTTTTGTTTAATTATACAGTGTGGGCTTAGTTTTAATAACTTGTCATAAAAATTAGTAGGAGAGAGAGCCAGGATGTCAGGATGAGGCTTCTTTCTGAAAGTTAATATGCTGTTTATGTGGAAGGATTTGTCACTAGGTGACTTGGGAAGTCTTCAGGAGGATCGTGTGACACCAGAAGTTGTTGATGATGCGTAGTTTTCATCTGTCTTGAAGTTGGTCTTCTCTTGGTTCCATGCTGGCGTTTTATTGTAATGTGGCCTGGCTGCCATTCGTTTCAGCCATCCCGAAGTGTGTGGGTGTGTTTGAGTTTACCAATGCTTTGGTGTTCACCTTGTTTCTAAAGCAAATGGGCTGTAGAGGAGGGGTCCCCAACCCTGGGGCCACAGGCTGGTACCGGTCCGTGGCCTGTTAGGAACTGGGCCGCACAGCAGGAGCAGGTGAGCGGCGGGCCAGCGAGCGAAGCTTCGTCTGTATCTGCAGCCACTCTCAGCACTAGCATCAGCGCCTCAGCCCCACCTCAGATCGTCAGGCATTAGATGCTCATAGGAGCACTGGTCCCTGGTGCCAGGTTGGGGACCGCTGCTGTCGAGGAGGATAAAGATGCTAAATAATGACTGTGTCCAATATCTGAAAAGCTTCCAAAGGCCCTGTGTTACCCAAATGAAACAATTACCTACAGAAGATTTAAGGCCTTCGAGGACTGGGGCCCTTGAATGCCCAGCCGTCTCCTACTTTTCCAGACTGTGGCCTGCATGGACTGTCTGGCAGCCACACTGCAGCACCTGGCCCGCGGCCTGGCACGGAGCAGGGCCTCACCTTGGCCAGCATCTCTCGTTAACTTGGACTTGACCCAAGCTGTTTTCTCTGCGTGCCCCTCCTCTGTCTTCCACGTGCCTTCTCTAAAGCTCCCAGCTCCGTCCCTCTCTGCGATCCCGCCAGCACCGTTTTCTGTCCCCAAGGGCAGGATCTCAGCAGACCTGTGAGGTTACAAATGCTTTAGCGCCTGGAAAGCACCATCTACCGACTGGTCCGTTGAGGTTGCTCTCTTGGTCTCTAAGTGTCATGGGTACGGAAGCTTTTACTGTATGTAGGCAATTAGTGATCTTTTCTCTCTCTGTGGTTGGTATGCTGCTCATTTCCATAAACAAGTATTTATGTGAAAGTTATGGTTGTCAGTCAAGTTTACTCATTATTTTATTTCGTCAAAGCAAGGAGGAAAATATAATGCTGTTCTCAAAACTCTACTGTAACCGTGGGCTTTTGGGTTGAAAAGTAAACGCCATCTTACTAGAACAGTAGTGAATTCTAAAGAAAAACAATCTTGCATGCTCTATAAATAGCTGCTTTTGAAACTTGGCTAAGTCGAAGGATTATCTGGGTCTGTCAGGAATTTTGGTGGTGGTGCGGTTATTGCTGTCAGCGTGTGCCGACCCCCGGGGAACACCCGTCTGTCACGTCTTTGGTTCAGTGTCTCCTTAGGATCGTGGAAGAGTGAACATGATTTTGGTGTAAATCTCGTCATGTTCAAGTTCAGCTAGTCCCTGGTTCTATTCTGTATCTTGTGGTCCTGGGGAAGAGTGGTGCAGCTGACGTATGATCTACAGAGCCCACCTTGACGAGTCCACTTGTTCCGTCTGGCGACTGTCTGCGTGAGGTGTGTTTTGAAGGTGGCGCCCCCCCCCAAACCCGCCCCGCCCCGCCCATCTCCAATGGACCCCTCCCCCGACCCACCCGCGGTCTTTCCTTTGCACAGAGAGACTTGTAGTACATCAAAATGTTTTTTATTTGAGACACAAAAATGCAAAATTGCTGAGATATCAAACATTTTCCGATCAGCTACAATACTGCCACTATGTACAAAAGATCTGATGATAAATGTGCACACATATAAAAATACAGTATGCATTACCTATGTACAGTACATGTGCAAAATGGACGGCGTTCAACGTGGCATGGAATTGATTTCAGGGGTGCAAACAGCAAATACAAAGGCATCATGGTTTTCTTTTAAAAAACAACATAAAGGCAATACATGAATGGACCCCCGATTGCCATAATTTTTTTTCTTAAACGGGTGCTTTACTAAGCAGGGCTCTGTAGATTGGTATCTTTCTCCTTTTTTTCATAAAGTGAGATGCTAGGACATAATGCGACGATGAAAATGAGAAGAGAAACACCGATCACGCTGCATTTCTGTTGCAGGCAGGAGAGGAAAACTGACTTGTACGTGGCAAGGAAAAAACTTTGTATTAGCTACGAAATATGTACTATTCCTAAACCAGCAAAACAAATCTATATACTCTTTTACATCAAAACAATAGAGAAATATCTACATCTTTGTGAAAATTATAACCTAAAATGGATAATACCTTTGTGGGACTGATTTTTGAGATCTCGTTAGTCTCAAATTTTAAATAAAAAGTGCCTCCTTTTGGCAAATACTTGGCAATGCCTTTGGTTCCTTTAAAGCGAGTTTGCATTACTACTGGTTACTTGAGGTTAAGTACTTTGGGTAGATACTAAACCCTTTCCCAAATGCTTCCTCCTCCGACCAAATCAGCAAGTTTTCTTAGAGCGTAACATAGAGGTAATTGGTACGAGTCTCAGTGAGTCTGTGACCTTTGTTAAAGCTTTGTCTTAGTGTTGGCACAAAGCTCTGTTAAACACGACAGCAGCGTCGATACCACCAATGACAGGTTTTATCTGACTCCAGACAGCACCTTGTAGATCTGAGATGCCATCCTGTTGTCACAAAATGGTGACATTTTTCAGTAATGATTCACAGAGCAGTGTGTTTGCGTGGAGGGTAAGAGAGCTTCTGTAAACATGTGCAGCTTTTTGAACTACAGGCCTCAAACCAAAGATTTCTGGTAGAAACCCCTCGCAAGGATATTTTCCTCAAACACTGAAGAAAGGGCGAACGGGGAAAACACACAGACCCGCTCATTGCCATGCAGACGGCCACCTCACACATAACAATGGAGCCCGGAAAGACCGCTGAGCAAGAGATCGAAAGTTTGAAAAAGAATTACTACATCTGAAATGTGATTTTCCAGTTTTGACTGAAGCCACTTAAAAGCGCTGAAACGCAGTTAGGATGCTCTCCAGATACACGGCTGCACTCCAGCGGTGTTCCGAGATAAACCTGACCTTCCAGTTAATGTTTTTCGATAATCTGGGCGAATTCTGTGGCCTCTAGGCAGCGGGCGGTCTGGTGTTCTGCTGCATTACTGCCTGTAGCCAGGGCTCTCGTTTGCAGTGACGGAAGGCGAAGACGTAGGGCTGTCTGCGAATGTGGATGAGGGACCCGTGTGCTGGTGGACACCCACAACTGCTCTCCCTAACGCTCTTGAGCCCCCGGTGGTGCCGCGCGCTCCCCCGGCTGACCGCAGCTCGGGTGCGGGTGCACCGACCCTGCCACAGCGCCTGACCGCTTCTCCAAGGCCGGGTCTGTTTGTAGACGTAAAGGGACTGTCCCAACCACTTGTGGGGACAGCAGTTTTGTCAGCTGTGCTGGCCGGTTTCGGCCTGGGAATTCTGAAAGGGCTCTGAAGCCCTGGGGCCTGGAATGATCTGGGGTTGAAGGGAGAGGAAGCCTGCGTCAGCTTTGGTGACAGAATGGGTGACATGCTCCTCACACAGCACTCGGTGTCCGCCGACCGCACAGTTCGCTGGCGCTGTCTGATTATGCGACTTCGTTGCAACAGGTGGCAACTTGGAGGCAGCAGCAGACCGCCTTTGCCACCACCCTTAACAGCACTTACGGAAGTGTCACTCACGCGGGTCACAGGGCCGTGCAGTTTGAAAGGAAGTTTAAATAAGATCTCTTTAGTATTATAAAAATATTCATATAAAACAAACACAAATAGTATCTGAGCAAGAAACCTCACAGATCCAGAGCACGTCTATGTACAGCTGAGTGGCGGGCGCTGGACAGTGGACCTCACATTTCAGGAAGAACTAGAAGGGGACCACGAGCCTGTGCAGGGGTTTGCTAGCACGCGCTTTGCTGAAATGTACAAGCTGACCACATACCCTGGACTCTCACAGACTTCGTAGAAGCTTTGGAGTAACTTTCTGTCCCCCCCCGCCCCCCGCCCCAGAGGTCTGACCGGATACCTACGTCTACGAGGAGCGTGAGCTGCAGACTACTGTGCTTCGGGAGTAGTTAGGGAAGTGAGGCTGGTTGTGAGATGACACGCTTCTAGAAGTTGGCAACACGCTATCCTGCACGATGGCGTACAACAGCCGCCTCTAAACCACACGCACGTGCACCGACAGCCCAGCCACTGTTCTGGCCTGGGCTTGAAAGTCCACGAGGCTCACTGCCACCGACAGCAGTCATCCTCTTAGTAAACACCGTTCCCACTGCAGTTACCGCGAAGCACACCGAGTCAGGTCAGAGGGGCCTTGGTTACCATGTCACCTTGGTCACGTCACAGGCTACACCTGGTCTGCGTCCTCTGTCTGACCTGGAGCATGTAGCCAGGACCCTGGAGAGTGGCACAGATGCCCAGCCTGCTGCCCAGCGGACCAGTGCGAGTGGGTGCTGGTTGACTTGGAAACCAGAGACTCTGCCTTTTAAGGAGATGCTACCACATAAAAGTTTGAACACACATGAAGTGGGCATGTCAGCAACACAGTCAAAGAGCAGGCTGATGAGGGGCATTTTCTGCGCTGAGGTGTGTGTTGGAGAACGGCCTGCCTGTGGCAGCTTCTAAACTCTAATTTAAAAAAGCAGTAAGGGGAGTTGAGGGCTAGCAAATGGCCTGTGCACAGAGTTTGGAAAGATGGAAGCAGAGGGTTATCCAGCAAGCATCCAAGTTATTCACTAGCTGTTCACTTGCCTCCTACAGGCCCACTGATATTGGCGCTAAGCAGCCATGTGAATCTGAGTGAAGATGATGCTCAGAGTCCAGGTATGGACCAGATAAGCTCTAGACAAAAACCCATCGCTAAGACCTCCCTTGAGAAAAGCACCTTCCTAAGGCAGCAGCCCTGCCCCTTGGGGACGGGCCCTTCTGAAAGGAGCTGACGCCAGGATGCACATTCCGCCCACGAGGGCGAAGGCTCCTGCCGAGCTTGGTCCGGTGGTAGTGGTCTGGGTAATGGGTGACTGGATCCCAAGGTCAGACGACCAAGCTCGAAGCACCTAACTACTCAGCACAGAGCACACAGGGTACCTGTCTCTGCCCTGGACCAGCAGAGGCTTTCACATCGGGACATGGACGTGCCAGCTGGCAGAGGGGCCCCAGTGTTCAGCAACCGAATTCTGGAAAAACGGTCTTTTCTTACCTGTAGTGAAATTTACAAGCGGCAATAAAAATTTGAAGTAAGATCAGCTCTTAGGCAGAACACAAACCCAGAAATGATTCACAATTCTTCTTGAATAATGGGTCAGGCTGCCTCTTGCATGTCACTGTGGGAAGTCACCGTTTAATGACCTGGAGAAAGCAGCCTGGTCCTAGGGTTTACACAAGTGAGGTGGAAAGCACAATAATGTTATTTAATAAAAACCTCCACACTTTTTGGTAGATTTCAGGTTTTTTCAGTTATGTACATTTTGTCATGTATTTAAACGATGAGCTAGAAATCATCTTGGAAATCTTGTGATAGTTGGCATTTTAGAAAATTCTTAAGAAACTACTCAACAAATATTTGATAACTTTTAGTCTATATAAAAACTAATAAACCTCCAGTTTTTCAATCTCCGGCTTGATAATTAGCAAGAGCTTGGGTACTGCATCCAGTTACAAGCCTGTAAAACGATGACCGGGATCAGCGACAGAGGAGAGGACAGCCAGAACGGAGCTGGGGACTGGAGGCCGCCCTGGTGACAGTCTAGCCTGTAACCGTGCGGGAGCATCCTGCGGAAGAAACACTTCTCCCTGGTTTCCATTCTGCAGCTCACCAGCTCAGAAAGATGTTTTACACTGAAGCCTTTTCTTGGTTCTTTGAGATGCGTCTGGTTACCTGAAAGTCAGTCAGCGGTTCTTTAAACATGGAGACACGCGTGGCTCAAGTACTCGAGAAACAGTCGAGTTGTTAAAGAAGTAGGGCTGCTGGACGGATACCCAATTCCTTACCCAACGCAGGCTGGACAAACCACAACTTCCGAGTGTGCGTACAAATATCTAGTTTATACATTAAATCGATCTAATCAACCCAGGGGGCTGCTCATAGAATTTTCAGTGTTATCAGTGGATTGTTTATGACAGCATTTTCTAGACATTGTCTGGTTATGCTGAAAGAGCTTCCATTTCAATTTGGAAATCTAAGATTTCAAAAATCACAAAATAAACTACAAGAGGAAAAAATTACACTGGTTTCTGAATGGAACCAAAGCCGTCAGCCGGAAGCCGTCGCCTGGCTGGCGCCGCTGCCTCTGACCCCACGGCGTCCTGGGCTGTGCTCAGGCTGAGTGTGGGAAATCTGTGTGTGGTGGCCTCTCACCTCCCTGTCACCGGCGTTCTTTTCTGAGTGGACCTGTCCCCCTCTTGTTCAGGGCCTTAGCGTGGCCACGGGTGTGTGTGTGGCTGACACCAGAGAATCCTGTCTTACCCTGCGCACACGGCCTTCTTTGTTTTCACCTAAGACACAATCCGTTCGTTGCTGAAGTCTGGAGAAACAGATGCGTTGTCTTTGAGGAGTGAGTTTGCAGAAGGCCCTGTGCCGCACTCAACTGCGGACATTCACTGCTGGATGCAGTGAAATGCTGCCAAGCTTGGTTTCCGGGCTGTGACCACCTATCTGTCCTTTCTGTGAGAACATATTTTAATTGCGACAATGCAGCTGTGGCTCTGTCTCTAAAAAGTGACCTTTCAGAATCATCTTTATCTCCCTGAGCCCCGTGACCTCTGAGACGGGGAGTCCACACTAGTCCCATGGCAGCGGCAGGTCCTGGGGGTCCAGAAAGTCCGCAGAGAACATACCCGGGGCGGCGGTGCCGAGAGGCGCGAGCCCCGCCGCGCTGGGCACGGTGAGGTCCAGCCACTCCATGTTGTCCAGGTGCGCGTCGGAGAGGTCGAGTGACAGACAGGGCGTGCTCGCGGCGAACTGGGCCTCGGTCGTTTCCATGGGCGAGTGAGAACGGTCCAGCGCGCCGGAGTGACTCAGCAGGTCGTCCTGGAGGTCGTCCGCCAGCGGGAAGGGCTCTCTGTCCGCACTGCTGCTCTGCAGTGGAGGGATCTCACTGGCTGAAGGTAGAGTTCCATCCAGGAAAGCTTCTAGCTGGTTCTCTAAGCTGGCACATAAACTGCTCATAGGTTCTAAGGACATGGGTGGTGCCATTTGGACTTGGGGTGGTGGCCGGGACACCACGGTGTTGACTGGCATTGTGGTGATGCTGGCTGTCACTGGTCTCATTTTGGAAATAGGAGAAGGCTCTTCCTTTATAGGGAGGGAAATCTCTGTGTAAAATAACAGAAGTAATTAGTAAGTAAAGACTTACTACTATTCAAAAATTCTTATTAATTGCTAAGACAGTTATTTTGCTCTTTGCTATGACTTACAGCCTGTCTTAAGTGCAGGAAGAGAATGCTGTGGGTCCCTGGTGACATTTAGGGTGATGGGTCATTTCAGTTAAGTAGGTAAACATTTATGTGTAGAACATTCTGATGTGCTTTCAATTTTTAGTAAGAGTAAGCATCAAAGCAGCGACTTCCCACTAGGTAGGAGTCGGTGTCCTGGGTTATTTAATCCTTGGGTCCTGGGCTTACGGGGAGGCTAGTGTCTCACTGTGCACCACAGACCTGCGGTCGCAGCAGCACTGCCCTGGGCGTGACCGTGGACATGTGCGTCCTGGCTGTGTGCACACGGGAACGGCATCCTTCCTATTGGGAAAGCTACAATCGTATTTTTTTCTTTTTTATCATTATAGTCAAACTCTGTAGCAGGTTAGCCATGTGTATTCTGTATACATTTCCAAAAAGACATAATGCCATCTTATTTAATTCATTTCTGAATTAAAGCTAACACATGGCTCTTTTTGACCTCATTTTTCTCACTTTTTTGGTCTTGTTTTTCGAGTTCATATAAAATCTTGAGGGTTTGGTAATGCCTTAATAAGCATTAATGATGTGTTATATTCCTTGCCAGATCAAGTAGCAAATGAGTGGACCGTCGGCTGCAGATAAGTGTTCACTTGGCCACACACATTTGAATGGCGTTATCTTTCTGACTTGGTTTTATTTACATGTGCCTACACTAGGAAATGGACTTAATGACCGAAAGCTCTTACAGCTAAGTGACGGGCAGCGTAAGCAGGTGAGGGAAAGCCGAAGATGTGATTCCTCTGTGTGAACTGTCAGCTGCGAGCACCGCGCGCGTTTTAGGACAGTTCACGTTACTTTTCGTGCTCTGTGGTCATCTCTGGATTGTTTTGAAAGCTGAAAGTGCAATCTTAGAAGTCTATCATCCACTATGTAAACCTCTGTTCTCATCGTTACTGGTATCAGTTTACAATAAGATGGAAAAATACTCACTGGAGACTTAGCCATAAAAAATTATTCCTTTTAGAAAATAACTCAATTATTTGATCACTGTCACATTTTAATTTCTAAGTTTAGGCTGTAAAAATTACTCTTTTTAATCATTTTAAGAAGTCTTTATTTTCATTCACTTTGGTAAAAGGCATTTTTTAAAATCTTAAATTCAGGGCATTGAATGTCTATTTCTCTAATTTCTATAGTTTAGATAAATCATGAGTTTAAATTATTTTGCAAGGCTTACATAGTTCTTAGCAAAAAAACTGCTATTGGCACATGTAGGTCTGTAGTCAATCAAGAATTTTCTGTTATACCAAACATTATGACAAGATCATTAACCTCAAAATCAAACAGTACCTGGTATGAATCAAGAAATTTTGATAACTATTTAAAAATCCGAATAAAAATCTTCATTAGGGAAATTTAAGAATACTTTAAAATATTCCAAAATAGCATTTGAATTTTTAAAGTACTGATTTTATACTTATTTTTAAAGATATGTAAGCTGAGGGACACATTGTTGATTTTTTTTTTGTGGTTTATATCCCTTTATCCCTTGTAAAATAAGATTTTCAATTATATGTAGAAAGTATTTTGGACTTGGCTTTGAATATTAATAAGGTCACCGGCACCCGAGCCAGGCAGCTTGGCTGTTACAAAAATAACACATGAGTTGCAATGTTTTTTACCCCATCTCAAGGACTGATATGGAGCATATGGAACAAGTTTTGAAGTTTTTCAATGTGAAATTTAATTCTAATTCTACTTGGCTATTTTGAGATGGTTTATGTTTTTCAGCAGGTTTATATCCATGGATAAACCTAACATTACCTTACAATTTTAACCAGAAACAATGGCTTTTCCTCCACTTGTAAGTAAGTTGTTTCAATGGCCTGAATTTAACAGATTTTAAAACAGTAAATTCAGTTAGGATTAGAAGACGGTCGTAAACCCGTGGTAAGAGGCGAGGGGTCCAGCGTGGCTGGCGTTCGACCTACCTCCGCTCTTAATGAGGATGTCGAAGAGGTCGTCCATCTGCTGGCTGTGCGCGCTGGACACCTGTGACAGAGGGGCGGGTGAGGCGCGCTCACACGGCGGGGGTGCTCCGGCCGCATCTCTCCCGTTTCCCTGAGTACCTGCCACACGGGACTGTACTTACCTGAACTATGCGGTTTTGTTATAAGTGTCGACATATACACGCTCAGAAAACTATGAGCAAAACGCAGGCAGCACAGCCATCGCTCCTGGTTTCCTCACGTTCCTTTGTGATGAGACTGACCTCATCCCCGGCGACCCGCTGCTTTGCTTGCTTTCACTATACATTAGTTTGTTTTCTAAAGGTTTATGTAAATTTCATACAGTATGTACTTTTTTGGAGGGTGGTGGTAGTGGCTTCTTTTACTCAACATAATTTTGAGATTTATCCATGTCATATTGTATACCTTAGGAATAGTTCATTCCTTTTCGTTGCTGAGAAGTTTTTCTTTGTAGGAAAATACCAGTTTGTTTGGGTTGTTTCTAGTTTTTGGCTATTATGAATACAGTTGTTGTAAACATTGGTGTATACATCTTTGTATAGACATATGCTTTCTTTTCTCTTGGGTAAATACAGAATTGGCTGTATTTAAAAATTATTTTTCAGTTACACTTGACATATTAGTTTCAGGTGTGCAACACAGTGATTAGACATGTATGTAACTTACGGGGTGATCACCACCTGCCACCATACATAGTTACTACAATGTTGACTGTATTCCCTATGCTGCACCCCGTGACTGTTTTTGTATCTGGCAGTTCGTACTTCTTCATCCCTTCCCCTTTCTCACCCGTCCTCCAACTCCCCTCCCATCTGGCAACCATCACTTTGTTCTCTGCATCTATCAGTTTGTTTATTTTGTTTTTTAGATTCTACATGTAAGTGAAATGATATGGGTTTTGTCCTTCTCTGTCTGACTCATTTCACTTAACATAATACCCTCTAAGTCCAACCACTTTGCCTCAAATGGCAAGATTTCATTCTTTTTTATGGCTGGGGAATATTCCACTGTATGTACTACTACTTTATCCATTGATCTGTTTATGAACACACTGTTGATGGGCACTTAGGTTGCTTCCATGTCTTGGCTATTGTAAATAGCGCTGCACTGAACACAGGGGTACGTATGTCTTTTCAAATTAGTTTGGATTTTTTTTTTCAGATAGACTCAGAAGTGGAATTGCTTGGTCATGTGCTAGTTCTATTTTTAATTTTTTGAGGAACCTCCACACTGTTTCCTTAGTGGCTGCACCAATTCATAGTCCCACCAGCAGTGCACGAGGGATCCCTTTTCTCTACATCCTCAACAACACCTGTTCTTTGATTTATTGATGACAGCCCTTCTGACAGGTGTGAGGTGATCTCTCACTGTGGTTTTCATTTGCATTTCCCTGATGATTATTGATGGTGAGTATCTTTTCATGTCTGTTGGCCATCTGTATGTCCTCTTTGGAGAAATGTCTATTCAGGTCCTCTGCCCATTTTTTAACTGGATTATTTTTGGTGTTATATGAGTTCCTTCTATATTTTGGATATTAACCTTTATCAGATGTTTCATTGGCGAATATTTACTCCTTCAGTAGGTTTTCTCATTTTGTTGATGGTCTCCTTTGCTATGCAAAAATATTTTGATTTGATGTAGTCTCATTTTTTTTTTTGTTCCCTTGCCCAAGGAGACAAAGCCAAAGAAATATTACTAAGAGTGATGTTGTTTTCTTCTAGGAGTTTTATGGTCCGGGGTCTTACATTTAAGTCTTTAATCCATTTTGAGTTTATTCTTGTATATGATGTAAGAAAGTGGCCTAGTTTCATTTATCTGTTCAGTTTTCCCAGCATTGTTTATTGAAGAGACTACTTTACTTGATTGTATATTTTTGCCTCCTTTGTTATAGATGGACCATGTAGGCCTGGGTTTATTTCTGGGATGTGTATTCTGTTCCATTGATCTGTGTGTCTGTTTTCATGCTAGTACCATGCTTCTGTCCCAATGTTGTGGGGAAGCCTCTTCCTAGCACCAGTGCCCCAGGCTATGGTGCCCAGTATTTGTCTGGAACCCCCTCATTCCTCAGGGGGAACCTCTGCAGTCAAGGATCCTTCTCAATTCTCAACCACCACACGTTTCGTATTTCTGCCCCTCCTACCAGTCTCAATGTGGTTTCTTCTGTATGTCGTTAAAGGACTTCTGTTCAGTTAGTCTTCATGTGGTTCTCCAGGTGGATTGCTCTATAATTTAGTTATAATTTTAATGCGATCATGGGAGGAGGCGAGTGCAGCGTTTATTCTGCCAACTTGACCGGAAGTCTAAGTTGCATTTTTTATTATGTGTGTACTGATAATTAGTCAATGGCTAATACTGCAATGGCTAAAGTGTGGCACTGCATCATATGCATGTTCACTCAGTTATTCTCCATCCAGTGATTCTAGAACATTCATTACATGCATTCCAAGTATCTCTATTACTGAGGAATCTTGTCAGTTGAGGCACAGATATTGACTTAGTAGCCAGAGGTGAGTTTTAGATATGCAGAAAGAAATTTAAAAAACCAGGAGAAAAAAATTATTAAAATTATCAACTTATTTAAAAGGAACTAAAAAAGCAAAATTTAATTTTATAACCGAAGTCTAAAGTGGGGAATCTGCACTTGTCCAGAAGGAATGCACTCCTCATTCACTGAGCGCACTACAGACAATGCTTCTGTCTCTCATCCTATGGGGACGTGAGCGTCCGTCTGAACATGGAGGTTCTGGACTCAGCTTCTCAGAGGCCCAGGGAGACAAGCTGCACACGAGCTTGTGGAAGGCATCTTGTCGTTAGGGAGAGGTGCTATGAGATTTTGGTTAAGGGCCAAAACACCGAGGAAAACCCATTCTTGCATTAGTCAGGGTCCCAACAGAGATGCCTGAAAGTTCATGAGCAAAGTTGTCTCTTTCAGCTCCTGACATGCAAGAAACTTGGGTGGTTCACAAGGTTCTATGAGCATCTGGCCATCGAGGTCAGGTCCAAGCCAGACAGACATCTTTATTCCTGAGGCACATCTGTCCATGCTCATCACGTTGTAGCCAAGTGTGGGTAAAAAGCACATACCAAACTGTGGTAATAAAACGTCTTGGCACCCATTTCCCATCATTCATAAACGAGGGAGTTCCTGTCTGTGGACCAGTATGGACTGTGCATTTGGCCCATCCCATCAAAGGCAAGCCAGAAATCTAAAGTGTCCCCTATTCTCCTTATTTCAGAAAGAAAAAGTGAGCTAAAAATTGTAGGCCAGACGCTCATCCTTGAGCATGGGGGCTTTGACAACCATATTTGCAAGTAATTTCTTTTATAGAGTGTCTGCAAGAAAAGGCATGCACAGGATGGAATTTGGGTTTCAGCCTCTCACCAATGAGAGCATGCTGTCTTGTCTCATTAGCACCAATGAATCACAGCCACAAATTCTTTCCCCGAGGTCCTGAAATTATCTGTTTACATCCGGGGAGACAGCTGCGGTATGTTACCAATAGTCATAACAGTATACTAAGAGATTTAGGGTCCCCCCAGGAACAGGGGGTAGGGGAAGCAGTTGGCCTCTCATCTACAAACACATGAATAAATAGCACCACATGGGGGTAGAGTCTTCCTCTAGAGCTGATCACTAATTTTTTCTAAATGTGACTGTCACTGTCATCCAGAAAGGAAATGAAGTTTTTTTCTTCCCTTTTCCTTCAGACATGATCCATTTTTGACATGTGTGTTAACTTTTTAAAAGCTGCTTGGTGCTGGCAGAAATGGTCATCTTTTAATAAGAAAGCTTCAGCCTTCTTAGTGCTCCCAGCAGCCTAGTGGATAGTAATAAAACATCTGAACATAGTCACTCCTGTGTTTCCCGCCCCCAGCCGCAGCACTTCACCCTTGATTTTGACCTCCAGGGTTTAGTGTGCTCCTGGGTAGGAAAGGAAAGGAGGTGAGTGAGGACTAGCCGAGAGGTGGGGAGATCCAGTTTCGGTGTGCTTCCATTGAGGAAAGAAGAGGTAAGATGGTGGGCAAAGACCATCGAAGATAGTGTCATATGTCCGTGAGGCACTGGGGGTCCAGAAATAAATGTCATCAATATCTTCCAGGAATTCACAGTCTGATGGAAGGAGAAGCTCTGCGAACCAGCGACCCCCTCTCGCTTCTGTGCGGAGTGCTGTGAGACGCCAGAGCGGCCCGAGCTTCGCCGGGAGGGTCTCGGGGTAAGTTTGCCCGCAGAGGTGATACCTGAAGCAGACATCAGAGGTTGCCCAGGGTAGGAGGGTGTGAGACAGACTCTCAAGAACAATGAGAGGTGCGGTGACCAGTACGGAGCGTCTATCGAGGACACGAACTGGGTGAAAGGAAGACAGGTGGCTGCAACAAGCCAACTGAAGTAGACCCAGGTTTGTTTTAGGAAGGTTTCAGCCCGCGGTCTGTGCGCTGTGGAGGGAGGTTGGGGCAGGTGCAGCTGGATGCCGGGCTGTGCGGGTTTGCCCCTTGGGGTGTCCAGCAGCTTCCTGGCCTGTGATCTGAGTGCCTCCCCGACTCCACAGACACAGTCCTGCCTTGATACTGATGTCTCTCCTCACAGTATACATGGAAAATCTGTTAACAATGACGATTCCTGGACCCTGGTAACTCGGATGGGACATTTAGGAATATGTATTTTAAAAATGTTCTCTCATTTCCATGCACAAAAGGCCATGAACCATGGCCTACAATTACTGTTTGTTTTACGTCATTGCAAACAAATTAGTTTTGCATTTGGAAGAAAGATTTAATCTGCTGTTAAGGCCTCAATTTGATTAGTTTCGCATGCCTAGCAGCCAGGTGGCACACCTTTATCTGTAGTTGGGTTGAGCGGGGGCGGGTAAGAACATCCTGGGGTAAGCCAGTGACTGTGAGAGGAGGCTAAATGGGATTTCACGTAAAAGCATGGTAACATGAGATCAGCGACGGAAAGGGGCCTCAAAAGTACTCTAGGCACTCTCAGCTCTGGCACACAACGTCATGCAATGTATCAAAACACTCATCTCTTCTATGTCTCCCAGTAGAGCCCAGAGATGTGGCCATTACCATCCCCATTTTGCACAAGACAATAGAAAGAACTGGACATTTTAAGTGACTTATTCTTGCCCCTGCCCTTCCAAGAAAGCATTTGCTAGCTAGAGTGTCAGAATGCAAGTGAAAATCCAGACTCGCTCGCCAACCTCCACCAAATCCTGCCCATTTTCTGTAACATCAGTGGCCAAGTTTCATCTCTTTTACGTTTTCTTAGAACTAGTGCTAACCATGTCAATTTGAGGATGCCGGTTGCCTCTCTGCATATTTCCATAATGATCATCACCATGACAGTATAGCTACCATCTATCTGGTGACTGAAGCGGCTTGATGTGTTAAGTTTTACAGTACACTAATGCTCGCAGCCAACCTGTGTGGTAGGTGACATCACACACGTTAAAGATGAAGGAACGAGCTCAGGCCACATGACTCAGCCTGTGCCACTACCCCTTTTCTTGGTCTCCCTTTTGGGAAATCGTCAGTGATTAGGAGCTCTATGGTTACTGAGAGGGGACAGGGTAAGACGTGGCGTGGAGGCGGTTTCGGGCCTGATTGCAGGTGTGCTACAGGTGACGGTGCCTTGTGCCCAGTGCACACACCCCCAGGACACCAAGGGGGACACCACAGTGAATCCCTCCTGGGTGCTGGCTGCACAGGCCCAGGGTGACATCTCACTGCGAGCGGCCACGTCCCTGTCACGTACGATGACCAGGCCGACCTGTCTCCTAACGGCTGCACCATGTGGTGATGGGGAGCAGAGCAATGCTGGTGAGAACACAAGGCCTCCTCCCGCGGACGCCGGCAGGAAGGCGATGGGGGGGCTGGGGAGGAAGGGGCGGTGATTAGACAGCCTGCACCTCCCAAGGAGACACTGCTGCTTTTCCTGAAGCTCGACCTGTGGCTCATCCAGTATTGGCTCTGGATCCCAAACTTCCGGTGTGATGGCTAACAAGAAATGACTCTTCCTTCCCTTCTTTCTTGAACAGAAAGGGGATTATGTGATAAAACTGACAAGCATGGGGGACCACGTGGCAGGCCTGGCAAACTCAGACTGAAAGCAGCCCCGGCCCAGGCCGACAGCAGAGGTCAGTGCTTACCGGGCGTGAGCCCTGTCCCTGGTCTCTGCACCTAAGATCACGTGTCAGTTTTCTCTTCTGGCTCCTCGAAGACACAACTACCAGCCGAGACCACAGAACCGTCATCGCCCCCACACCGGCTCTGTGCTGTGCACTGGTAACTGTCTCCCCGTGCCGCCTTCCGTGTGACCCCATCTCCTCGAGCCACCACCAGTGGATTTCCTGTCATCCTCCTCCTCTGACTCTAAGCTGCAAAACTGCCATTCTCGGGGTGGTCACTTAGTGAGTTATAGAAACGGGTAACCCATGTGTTGCACACCTGAAAGCAATATAATAACGTCACGTGTAATTGAAAAATAAAAAATACCGTTTTGGGAGCATTTTGCTTCCTGGCCATCATGTGTTCTCTGTGCAAGTTCTCTTCCCCCTCAGAAATCAAATCCTAAGGATTTCGCTCTTTTGTGAAATTTTAAATGAATGAATGAAACAGACTCAGAGAACAAGCTGATGGTCACCAAAGGTGAGGGAGTGGAAGGATGGGAATTAAATATGTACGTGTTCAGTAAACAGCTACAAACGAGTACTGTACGTAGCCCGTTCATTCAGTAAACTCGTAAACTGAGTTATGAAATAGTATGCGCCCAAATGTATTTTTAAAAATTCTAGGACATAAAAATGGGATTATAGACAGCAGAGTTAATAGAGGATCCTGGGTGGTGAGATCATTGGTGACTTTTTCTACTTTATACTAGTCTGAGATTTCCAAATTAACACACATTTTTGTAATGAGGAAACAAGTTTTGCAAAAGTTTTTCAAGAGACTAGAATGGGCAAAACAGAAATGTTAAGTGACATGTCAGTAACCAGCTCTTCGAGAGCAAGGCAGTAAGTCCCCTGAAGGGAACTGCAGACACACCCGCACCTCCCAGCCCACGAGAACTCGGGGCACACAGTCAGAACTGAGATGTGCTTTCATTTTCTGTAACCATCAGGTTGTCAGTTTCATTTAAGAGGAAGAGTTGACGTAAGGAAAAAAGAGGGACCTGTACAACGATCACGTGTAAAAGAAAGCAAAAGAACAAACTGACGAAGAACTATTTAGATTCATCCGTGGATCCAAAGGAAAAGTTAAAAGACAAACCTGGAATTTCTAATTGCAGGTTACAGAGTGGCTGAAATCTGTTTGAAAGTCTGGAGTCTTCGCAGTAAAAGGGTATTTTGATTTTATGCAAACGAGGCTCCTGGCCGCGAAGTTTTTCTGTTGAGGCAGGTCCCTCTTAGAAAAGGGATTCTACTCAACACAGGAGACAGAGGCACCGGCCTCGCTTACCTCTGGGCAGGAGGGCTGGGCGCTTCGCGTCTGCTTGATGGCCTCTTCATAGCGGGGAGGGTCTTTCGTCTTGGGGACGGGGCTCCCAAACAGAGAGTGCTGGATGACAAACTGCTGGGGCGCGGGGGGCGAACTAGGCTGTGGCACACAGAGGAGCACAGTCAGCTTCCTTGCCCCGCTGGGCTCCGCTCCGCTGTTCTCTCCTACCCGGCCACGGCCGCCAAATCGGGGACGTCCCACGCTGGGAGGCCTACGGCCCACATCTGTGCGTGACAGCACAGGGGCCCACTGCGTGGGGAAGGGCCGCCAGCTAAGCTGCCCCTTAACCACGGCCATCGCTGTTTCCAGCTCCTTCCCCCAGGAATCCCAGTCCTCCTTGGTCACTCTAAGCCTAAAGCTCTGGGCTTTGGAACATCTGCCCGCTCACCGGGGATTACCTTGCTGGGGGGGCTCGGTCCGTTCTGCAGGGATGGGAGGGGTGCACTTCGGGGCTGGGGAACGCCGCCTGGCGTCTTGTTAATGAAGGTCCGCTGGACGGCTGGGGCGGGCGGTCTCTGGTACGGAAGAGCTGCACTGGGTGCCGGGTTGGCGAAAACCTGTAATGCATGAGCATTTTCTCATCAGTTTCCTTCACTTTCCCTAATAAAACCATGTTTTAAAATGGCTGGGCAAACATTTTCTGCAAAAGGCTACAGAGTATATCTTTGTGGTCTGCAGGCCCTGCGGTCTCTGTGGCGACAGCTCGCTACTGCAGGCGCCACTGGACAACACGTCAGTAAATGGGGCCCAGGAGAACTTCACCTACAAAAACGGGTGGGGCTGGATGAGACCCACAGCCCATGGGCTGCCACCCTGATTTCCAAGCGTCAGTGGCCCCTTTACTCAGAGGCCTGTCCTTGGTGGCGGTGTGGATGGAGTATAACTTTCCTGGTGAAGGACAGCGGAGTCTCCTAGATTCCTCACTCGAGTGACCTGGGCCACGCTCCTGGCTTCCATGTTCACGAAATCCTAACAACCCCCCAGCCCACCTCTCTCCTCCAGCCCTGCTTCCAAGTACCAAAGCCAGATTTATAACATTTACAAACAAATTTGAGACATCTCAAGTTTAGTATATTCCAAAATACTTTCCCCTGCCTTCCCTCGGCCCCAGCCATCGAGGGAAAGTAATCTCTGGTTTTGCCTTCATTTTTTTAACTTTAGTAAATGGAGCCGTCAGGCTAGCTGTCTTCTCGGTGCTTACACTCTGAAATGCCTCTTGAATCACCCTGTTCTCTGTCCTAATCCAGGTCCCTGGTGTCTGTCCCTGGAGCCCTGCCTGTCGACAGTCAACATACACACCTGACGGAGCCCTCCCACTCACTGGCTCCTCCGTCTTTAGGGCAAAATCTAATCTGTGGCTGGTGTGTAAACCTTCTGACTACTTGGCCCCTTTTTCATCCTACCCAAAAGGCTATACCTGCTGTGGCCACACTCAACTGTCCAGTTTCGTGAAACTTCTGAAATCCTTGCAAGGCCTCATTTAAACTCTGCCCTTTTCTGAGAAGCTGTCTTCTGCTGTCAGGCAGAGGTGAGAATTTCTTCCTATGGAACTACAGGGTGTTTGGTTTAGCCACCATTAAAAGCCAAAGGTTTTAGGGCCTTTTACAGATGTACGGCCATACTGTTGATATTGCAACTACTTCACAGCACTGGTTTATGAAAATATTTAGTATACTTGATGGCACTAGCATCCTGAAAGAAAAAACTTACCCCTCTATTTTTATAAATATACATAAGTATTTTTTAAGCATGAAAGTACATATGTGTCTGTGTATGTGTTTATCTCTCTGAACAGTGCAGGTCTGGGCAAGGAGTCCTGTAACTTTACTTCTCTCTGAAGTTTTTTTTAAGCATGAAAGTACATATGTGTCTGTGTATGTGTTTATCTCTCTGAACAGTGCAGGTCTGGGCAAGGAGTCCTGTAACTTTACTCCTCTCTGAAAAGCTGAATTTCCTTATGTTTCATAAAAAAAAAATTCTTCTTGTAAACTAGAAGTAATGATTCCTAGTTCTAACATTTTGAGACTTAGTAAATAAGCCTTTATTTATCCCGCCTATATATTGTTTTTCTCTCAGCTTCCTAAAACAAAGAAAACTGTCCTAACATTTAAACATTCGCTGAGCTTATCACTACACTGAAATGTTATTTTGAGCCCAAACTAAGTAATCTGCAATGAGAACTCCTTGCTCCCTGCATCTCAGGATGTGTGTTGATGTGACTGCTGACTGGAGAGGTCGTTTTGGTGTGTTCCTCGTGTTGCCGCAGATGGCCGACACCCTGGGCACACAGTCAGGCACACTCGATCATCTGGGTTCTTTTATGTTGGAGCTAAAACTCTGGGACTAACGATTCTCAAGGTTTAAAATATAAGGCCTATTTCTGAGGCCTTATTTTTCTGGTACAGAGATGTGCACACAGCTCCACCTGCTGGATAAATGGGAAACTGGGTAACTTTTGAGGCAACTGTACATCTCAGCTTTTGGGTGGGAACCTGTGTAGAGGACACTGAGCCGTAGACATACACCATCATTGTAAAGATGAAACTGAAACCCAGAGAAAGAGAGTGAACGGTGCATCAGGCCCGCCAGGAAGGAAGCGGGGACCCAGAAGGTCACCAGACCTGGCCGTCTGGCTCTCCTTCCACGAGGTGGCAAACTCTAAAAATACACAAAGGTCCTCACACTCCAGATGAACATTTCAGAAAGTATCTTTTTCATCTTCAGATAGTTTTTCCCAGGAAACTGCACTATTATTTTTTTTTTCCCACAAAATTATGCATTTGAAAAGCCATTTTAAAACCTAGGAATTCTATAGATAAGGATTAAAAAGATACTTTTGAAAACTTTACTTGGAAAAGGGGTTTAACTGTTAAGACGAGCTATCTTTCAGTAATAAAGACCTCCTCCTCTTTCCCAAATGACTGCATGCTCTGCAGCCAAATGGCATCTGACCTGAGGCTGCTGTGACGGGGTACAGATCACAGATGAGGATGGGGCCTGGTGGCCAAGCAGAGGGGAGGACACGCTGGCAGCAGTCCGTCCCTCGCTAGCAGTTACCGACCTTTCTGACCTGTGGCTGACCAAGCACCTGCGGCACGAAAGGGCCTTGCTTCTGAGGAACAGTCTGGGCCACGCCCGAGGACAAGGCTGCTGCTGCTATCTGTGGCTGTGTCTGGATTCCTGCTTGTGCTGGAGTCTAGGAGGCAAAGTAAATAAATAAATTCACTGGCACCTAAATTTAAGCCTTAACAATTCAAAACCAGAGTTAAACACCAGACCAGTTATTGTCACGCTCTTACTGTTTGTTCCTTAAGAAGCTAACATTTTCATTTGAAAATTTTGTGAAAATGGAAAACTGAAATAAAAACCCTGTAGCAAGTCTACACGGTAGGTTATGACAACGTCAGCGAGGTCATTTGGGAGGCTTAGCCTTCGCTCAACAGTCTGCGCACTCACGGGGGGCCGGCCGTGGGTCAGGCACGCACATGCCCAGAACAAAACGTAGCTTATTCCTAGAACGTCGTCTAGTGGAAGATTCGGACAGAAAAGAGTTTAGAAATATTACAGAGCAGACTTTCCGTTTGAGACACTAAAGATGAACCGGGCCTCTGGGTCATGCCCCGACCCCCGGGCAGTCAGGGCTGAGCAGCGCTGCTCCACAGAGTTTCTGCTCACTGCGGCCCCCCGCTGAGTTAAAACCTATCAGAACCACCTTAAATAAAAACTGAAGGTCACGTGGGCCTAAAAGGAGGTGCTGCCAGCAGCCTCTCCGCCAGCAGCGCCCTCGCCCTCCCCTGCTAGACACCTGCACACCAATGGGCCTGTCACAGCTGCATGAGGGAGGCAGAGCCCAGCTGGTCGGAGGCCAGCTGTGTCCCTAGGCCGTCTCCTCACCTGGAACTGGGCTTTGTCACCAGCCCTGTTAGGGGGAAGGAGGGGTTAAATGAAGCCACTTAAAGTGCCTGATGCTGTGCCTTGTGCGTAAAAAGTACTTGGGTACCAGTAGCTATTATCGTTACGACGATGTCATATTTAAATAGGTCCACATGTATGATATGGCGTCAATTAAAAGTAAAAAGGTAACCAATCAAAAAAGCACCCTTCACTTTTACTATACAAAAACAGTGCTATTCACACGTTTGAACCCCCGCTCCCCCACCGCATGCACACGCACAGCTCTGCCACTGCGAAGCCTGAGGGGCCGCGTTCCCGGAGCGCAGGCTTCCCTCCCCAGCTGCTCCCATTCCACGCCCGCCCACGCGGCAGAGCGGCTAGCGACAGGCTCCGCACCTGGAGCTTGAGGCCGCCCACTGGGAGCTGCACCGAGGCGACGCTGGAACCCTGGATAGACACCGGGAGCAGCAGCTGAGCCGTCTGTGTGGTCAGCAGAGCCTGCGGCTGAGCGACAACGGCGGCTGGTGGCTGTCCCTGGGAGCTCAGGTAGAACTGCGGGACGCCGCCCTGCGGCTCGACCGAGGCCACGGGCACCTCCTGCTTGATCACTACGGCCTTCTTGGCAACCAGGCTCTGGCCACCCGTCGAGACGGCCTGGCCCACAGAGGGGCCGGCCCCCGGGCCGGGCTGCCTGGAGCCGGAGCAGTCGGCCAGCGTGCCCTCGTCCTTGACGGCGCCAGCCACGCCAAGCTTCTGCTCTGCCTCAGTGACGGGGTCAGCCGGGGCACTGGGCTGGGGCTCCCGCGGCCGCGGCAGCTGCTGCCCTCGCTTCTCAGCCTCGAGCTGCATTTTGAGAACCTCCACGAGCTTCTGCTCTTGTTCCAGTTTCCTCTTCAGCTCTTCGATCTGCTTCTCTTTCTCCTGAAGCTTTCGATCCTTCTCAGCTGCATCCAGTTCCAGACTGGACAGCGTGCTGCTGGTGGGGCTTAGGCTGTCTTCATTACTTGTCACTCGCAAAGGAGAGGAGCACAAGAACTGTGAAGGAGACATCATGGTCATAATCTCGGTGAAAGTGTCTGCCATGTTTGTGTCCTCGGTACTGAGACTGGACTGTTCGGACGGCGACGGTGAGATCGGCAGAGGCGAAGTAACGTTGTCAGCATGGGCGACGTTGCTGGTCCCAGCAGATGGCAATTCTGCCTTGAAAGTGGGGGCTGAGCTAGTCACAGAGTTATGCAGTGTGGTAACCGGCAACGCCACGGTGACTTCTGGGTTGCTGGTGACGATGGCGGATGCTGACACCGCCACGATGCCGTCGGCAGCAACCCCGCTGCTGTTCATTTCCTGGTAGGGTTTCAGGCGTTCGATAAGGTTCGGTTTGGTGCCTGACACTGGAAGACCCCTTAACTTCAGTTCTGTCTTCAGTTCTGACACCTAGAAGTACAAACAAATCAGCTCTTTTTTCTGGTATTTTAACTTTCTGACCAGTCAACAGGACACTTGTGACAGAGAAAAGGTGCCTATATCTGCCAACGACTCCCATATTATTGCATATCTGCAAGTGGAACAGTTTAACACACGAACACACACAACTACAGACCTTGAGACCATGAAAGCCCAGTGATAACAAAATGAGGGTTTTTAGAGGGTAATTCCTGTTATGTCAAAGAACAGATTTACTACCGGAAATGATGACGACAGCTACATTTACTGAGTAATTACTATGTGCCAGACACTGCGGGAAGTACTTTATTCTCTCCATTAATCCTTCACATGAGGTGTACGAATTATTCCTGTTTTACAGATGAGGAGATGGAGGCAGAAAGAGGCTGGATCACTGCCTCAGGTAACGGAAGGCAGAGCTGGGGAAGAAACCCAGACAGGCTGGCCTTGAAGGTCATGTTCTTAACTGTTTCAGTTTCCTGCTTCTCCCAAACATGGCAATGAGCAGGGGAGAAAAAATCTGCCTCTGGAGTCAGAACTGGCGTGGGCCGGCCCAGGGTGCGTGCTCAGTATACTAATGGAGTTATTACGGGGCATTTGAAAAGAGACGATAGGCATAGAAGGAAAGTACCTCCAGATCTGTTATCATATTGGTAACCACCTACATCTGTGAGACAAACCTGGCAAGTCATTTACATTTCTGAGGTCCTTAAGGCTGAATAAACTCTACTTGGAATTATCACCTTTAAGTCATCCAAGCTAGAAGGCAGAGGTCCTGGCTTTCTCACAGGAGTAGATGTATTCTGTCGTGGAGTATTAGGTGTGGTATTGTTCAAAGCGGAATTCCCACTGTTGTTATTTTTGTCATTGAGTGGCCTTGAAAAGAAAAAGAAAGTTAGAATTTACAATAAAATAATTTCTGGATTTGATGTTGCTTCTGCTAAAAATCTAACGGTTAACTTATGAAGAGGAAAATACCACGGATTGGAAGACTCAATAGGGCAAAGATGTCAATCGAATTAGATCCCAGTAAAAACCGCTGCAGGTTCTGCGTGCTTGCTTGCTCGGCAGACATTCAGAAGGTGGCTAAGCTTTACGTGGAAATGCGACAAATCAGGAACGGCCAGGGCACCCCTGAGAAGGAAAGCAAGACTCTCCCAGCCAACGGCAACGCTTGTGACGAAGCCGGTCATTAAGACGAGGTGGTGTCGTGCAAGGACAGAGTCAAACAGGAGAGCCCCCCAACCCCTGTACGTGGGCCCTCAAGGTATCACCGAGCGGACGCACTACAGGGGTGAAGGGGTGGTTCTCCCATTAGTTAAACGGCACCGGGCCGGGCTGGACTGCACACAGAGAAAACTGACCACTACACCTACCTCGCATCATCTCGGAGACCTACATGTGAATTTTAAAAACAATAAAGTTTTCAGAAGAAAACTTAAGATACTATCTTCATGGCCTTTGGACAGGCAAAGATTTCTTAAACAGGACACAAAAAGCACTAACTAAAAGGGATACCTCCAAGCCACAGGAAAAATGTTTGTAATACTCTTTTCTGACAGAGGCCTTATATCTATAATATACAAAGAAATCTTTCAAATCAATAAGAAAAATACAGGAAAACCAATGGAAAAACGAGAAAATCCTGAAGAAGCATATCACAAGAAAGTACATCCAAATGGTCAATAAATACGCGAACAAGCGCTGAACCTCAACAGGTGTAAGGAAAATGATGAAGACACAACGAAATAGCACCGCGTATCGCTGCTTTGATGAGCAAGACTGACGGCACCGAGTGCTGCGACAGCCTGAGCCCTGACACTGCCAGCAGAAGTGTGAAGTGGCACAGCCACTTGGCGGAGCTGTTTCATGGTACCTACTAAACAAAAGCCCATGCTTCCCCTCCGACCCGACACCTGACAAAGACACACGCTTGTCAGCCAAAAGACGCAGGCTAGAATATGCATTACGGCTTTCTCCTTTACAGCCTCAACGGAAAGCAACTCAGCTGTCCGCTGAGCACGATGGGTGGACCAATTACAGACTAGACAGAAACACAAACTTTACTGGCTGCCATCTGCAGTACTAACGATGTGTCTCACACACAACCCGATGCTGAGCAAAGGACGCCAGGCACTGTGTGTGCTGCAGGGCGGCATCTGTATAACGTTCAGCAGCAGGCAAAGCAACCTGCAGGGCAGAAGTCAGGACGCCGCTGACAGAGGGCGTGACGGGGCCTCCCAGGGGGGCTGATGACGCCCTACTTCTTGATCCGGGTGGCAGTCAGAGGGTGTTGCTTGCTTAGGCATCAGCATGGGCTTCTCTGTCCGTAAGTTATACCTCGTTTAAAAAAGTTTATTAACAAAAATGTCGGAGACCCGGTCGTCAAGTCCTAAACTTAGGTTCTTCTGCATTGCTCTCCCTGACCCCTTCCCACGTCAAACCTGGTCCCCCAACTACGGCTGGCTGAGACGCTCCTGCAAAAACGGCATCTCCTTGTGCTGGTGGACACCTCCTACAGAAGGCAACACGATGCCCACAGCAGCCTGACGTCCCTGTCACGCGCGCCGCGGGACTGAGGCCACGCTGGCTTTGGGCCCCACCCTGAGACGGGGTCTGCGCTGACGAGCCTTCGCAGAGTTCTACGGAGCCTGAGTTTGAAGCCAGTTCTGGCCTTGTCAACAGCCAGCTCTTCACATTTGGGTCTTTTTAAACCGGCATTAAATTTTGTTGAGGATAAATACTTGAAGTATTTGGAATGAAGTTTCTTGAACTTTGGATGAAGTGACAAATATATTCTGTATCATTTTCCTTTCTAAAAATTCAACTTTTAAATCTTATTTTTGAATTTTGAAAACATTTTATTTAGATCAGTTTCTCAACCTTATATTCATTATTGTCCCAACTATGAGCCTTTTTTAGACAATTTTTTCCTCAAAACTCTTCCTATGAAATTTTAATACCAGAGATATATTGCATATCTATGTGTTGTAGGTAAGTCTGTGCTTCAATAAATAAAAGGTATAATATTTCCCCCAAGCAGCCTTTGCTCCCCTGTGAGAGCATCTCCTTGAGAAGGCATGATTTCAGTTAGTTACTCACGCTGTCTTTTTGGTTGTGATTGAGCAGTACCGTGTGTTCCTATGATTAACGAACAGTACAGTGTTTAAGACAGCCTTTAAAACCAAAGACAGTTGATCTATTCCCCCCTGCCAATCAAGAG